ATTAATAAATAAAAAAAATTTATGCTTGTGGTCATCACACACTCACTCATGATTTTTCATTTCTATATAGTTGCTGGGTATGAGACCCTCTTTACTGTCTAGTTCGGCACGATACCAATTTGAATCGTCTTCCATGTTTAAAATCTGCAATAGGAAAGTAAGGATTTTAAATTAATTTTAATATTTGGTGGAATATAATTTTGCTTTCCAAAAAAATATATACATACATTTTTTTTTAATTTTTAAGTGTATATAACCCCTAAAGTTCTAGTTTTTTTACAAATTAAGTTTACATTGAATTCTATAGCGGTTGCGGGCTTTGTTGTTGAAAATTTGTTAGTAATAAAATTGAAAAAAAAAAATCGAAAACAATTAGGTATTTTTATTTTTGCTATTAACGTTTTTTAACTTGTTGCTTGAAATTGTTTGATGTTTTGTATAATGAATTGTTTTGCCAATAAATTTGCATAACAAACCAGAATAATTTACTGCAAAACTCTTTATGACACTTGCAACGTGTTTTTTTGTTTTTACTTTTAGAATTATTAAATTTTTTTTTTCAAGACCTCAACGAAAAATTGTATTTGTAAAATGTTAATTTCATTAATGATCAATATTGCATACATATACGCTTACGAACTCGATCCTTATAACACAAGTGGAAACTAGATAACCTATAGGAAAACAACACCAGAAGACAGTTTGGTGTACAAATTCATTTATTCACCATCGATGGCATCGAACTACAATTTTTGATTTCGAATTAATTTGTACATCGATTTCCACAAAAGTCGGTTTTACGGTACCGAAAGGATTTTATCAGGTTAAGAGGTGCTATTTCGAAGAACACTTTTGTCGCTTACTGTAAGTGCATTGTTTATAGAATTTTACAACGCACACATTACTTTTTTTACTTTCTGAAATATGTACGTACAAATGTAACGTGCTGCAGCCTCCGCCTCGGGCAGGTCGCGTTGACCCAAATAGCAATGAAGCGTGAACTAGCGCCGAGTGACGTGACGCTGACACAAAAACAACGCGAGAATTCGTTGACAAAAGTCATTAATAATTTGGTGTGCGGAAGCGAATTGCGAAATATTTTAGATTATTTTTTCTATATTATGTGCGCATATTTCATCTATACTCTATAATTTTAGTAAATTCACATAATAAATATTTGTTTGTAAATAGATATGTGTCAATTAGACATGGAACAATGTCAACATTTGCGTTCGAATTTCATCGCTCTTTATTTTCTTATTAGCACGAACTTCGAACATGCACAGACATGTCATATCAATGAACTGCGAATTCCAATTGCAGTGACGCCCTGTTGCAGCAGCAAAAACAGCAAACAAAAAACAGAGATAAAGTGAAATATTCGCTAACGAGATAAATTATATTCTCTACATTTAATTTAGTATGTTTGAAGAAAGTTCGTGTAGTTTTGCTCGTTTCAAGTAACTGCACTTCGTCAGAGTTGTAAATGTTTTTGTCAACGCGTGCAGCTATGCGAATATGCAATTTTTTATTAGCCGCGAATTTTTGCACGACTTTAACGAATTTTTAAATAATTCAAATGAAGGTCATTTGTTGGCAGCGCACGTAAAAGTGTTGTAAAAAGTTATTTAAAAAGCCTTAAAGTAAAATGGAAATCAAAAGCAAGTTTATGTTATGTAATGTTATGGAATAATTTTGTGCGAAGCTAAAAGCTATTGATTTGTATACCACTTAAAAGAAAAAATGTAAATGCAATAAAATATTTCCATAGAAAATAAGTGAATAATACATAAGCTTACGAAAAAATTAACGAAATTAACATGCGTTTAAATAGTGTATTGTACCGACCAGATTTCGAAGTAATAAATTTTAGATTTTCACTGACCGCCATTCACAGTGGAGCTATCAACACTTTTCCGATGCCCACGCAGTGAATACCGTATTTGGAGCCAAACCCCCGCCTATTGCGGACGAAGATCTCGAGTTGCCTTGAAAATTTATAGTGACACTTGTGCAATTTTGTTCACGCTACAGTAGCAGATTTAACTCGTACTTATCTAGAATTGGCCCCGACATACCTAATATTAATGACCAGCATGCAAAGAGTCCCCGCATGACTCTAACCACATCTCCAATCATCTAAGTCTTCTCTCTCTATGATCCGACCACGTTGAAACAGTATGTTTCCTGGGTCTACCGATGGATGACTTCGATGACAACGAACTCGATCCTTATAACACAAGTGGGAACTAGATAACCTATAGGAAAACAACACCAGAAGACAGTTTGGTGTACAAATTCATTTATTCACCATCGATGGCATCGAACTACAATTTTTGATTTCGAATTAATTTGTACATCGATTTCCACAAAAGTCGGTTTTACGGTACCGAAAGGATTTATCCGGTTAAGAGGTGCTATTTCGAAGATCCTAGCCTATTTCGATTGGTAAGATAAAAAAACTACTTCGTAGTAATACTAGTATGGATCGTAGCGGAATCGGATGTAATTGGGGAAATTACTAGTAAGAAAAGTCACTTATGACTCACGATTATCAGAATGGGGACAGATCGAAGTTACTCTGTATTTTCGCGTTTTACTACTGGATGACTGAGCTTCACGTGAGCTTGAAAAGTGTGTGGGAACTATATGTACTTCCACTGTCGAAGGTTCTTGCGGTCCGAAGTAAATTGCAAGAAGCTTAAAGAACCTTTCGCTCTCAGTAAGATAGTGGACCTTCCGGTTGTAGAAAATTTAACTAGTCATTGTCAATTAAAAATAAAAAAATGTCAAGTTTCAACTTGACATGAAGCCGTTGCGCGATTAAGGCTGAACATCTATGAATATCATATCTTTTTTAGCCATTCAGGTGATCTTGTCTTTAACAATTAAATTGTGTTCCTCATCTCTGAGGTCAGATGTAGAACTTAACCTTAACCTAGATCCAACTTTAAAAATCGAAGTCTGGAGAAGCAGCTATAGAACGGTACCAAAACATAGATCCACTGAGCTCCATAACACTAGGGTTAGGTAAGGTGGTAGGGTTGACTCAGAAACGATGAATCTCACTTGAACAGATATTCGTCCTTCCCTTCAACTTAAAAAAAAATTTCATCAGATCCTCATCCATCGATCAAGCAATTTCGCTTGGTTCACCAAAGGTTTGTCTACCGAGATATTGTAATCTGTCTAGCAAAAGCTGGACTATAGAGAAGGGAGTGACAAAATGATTCCAACTCGCCTTCCTCTATGTAGCTTTGTCGAAGAGCGTCCGACCGAATATTTTGTAGCATCGCGTTTAAACCTATTGGACAGTATACAGTAAGAACAACTATAATTGTGGCGAGGTTGACTTTGCTAATAGCCAGATCGTTGAGCAGCGTCTACTGAGCTGACTAGAAGTCAGACATCGGTGAACCGATTCAACTCCAAACGGATGAAATTGAGAAAAGAGTGTGCTCCCTAGCCAACTCATTGGCTTTACAGTTTCCAGCCATTCTACTGTAACCGGGCACCCATACTAGTCTAATATGGGAAAAGCTTGAAGCTATTGCTGATCAGGTCATGCACTGCTTAACTAATAATGAACGCAGACCTCTTTGAACGAAGCTACACTTCAGAGCAGCACATCTATCTATCTATCTATACTTGATGGCAGCCACCTCCGCTTGAAACACGCTAAAGTGATTTGTACTCTGAACTTAGAGCTGCTGGAGAGCTTATAATACTAAACATTTTAAGGTTATCTAAAAAGTAATAAAATTTGATTTCTCTGATTTACACCACGAACGGTGGGCAGACCGCTACGATCATCTTTAATAAAGTTCGAATAAGATAATCTTTTTTTTTTCTGTTTCTATGACGTGTTATTATCTCAAGTAATTTGAGCTTTTGCAATAGAAGACAAATAAAATGTGCAACTAGCTACAAAATAAACAATAAATCACAAGAAAAACTAGCGAACACAGAAATCACCTACACCACAACACATGTTTGAAGACTGAATAACTGGAAAATGGAATTTCTTAACGACACGTGCGATAACCTCAACATACTAGAGATGTAATCGATATTTTTGCGTTGGCCGCGTAGCAAATGGTGTATGGTACGAACGACTGTTGTTTTTTATTGTAACATTATATGCATTTATATTACCGCTAGGTGCGGTAAGTCACCTCAGTGGCACCCAGTGACTCGCCTCGACTATCCGAACCCCACCACCAATCCACCTCACCGCCATGTACCAACATTATTATTTATCACATTACAGAAAGGCATTGCTACATATATTTCCTCGCAACTGTTCATAACATTTTTCAGCTTCGTGTTGTTGTTGTCACGGTTACGGCAGCACATCGTAAATGAAATGAATATGCCAAAAGAGGTGGCAGTTGAAATATAAAAATTCCCACAAAGGGGAGTTAATGGGCGTAAGCGTAAATGAACTGAAATGTCAGATGAAACATATAACAAAACGCAACAACAAAAGCAAACATACAGAACATGGCATTTTGTTAAATAAAGTGGCGAAGAATATATGGAAAGTAAAAAAAAAAAAACAGTTCAGCCAAGGTCAAAGTTGACTGTTAACGTGTTATTCAAAATTTAATTGCAAAGAGTTGCTGTGTTAGGTGGAAAATTCACTAAACCGCAACTGGCAATTATCCGTTAAATGGAATAATTATTCAATTAAATGCTACGAAGGAATTGCGAATTAAACGGCACTGCATTGATTCATGTTCATGATTCAAGAATCGCTTAAAACTGCAAGATGACTCAATATTTTTAAGAAAATGTTTCCAATCAATACTGAAACGCAGTAAATCGGGCTCATTTCTGAAGTGGATGGTTACCGGTGGTGAAAAGTGGTTCACTTACGACAACGAATTGCGGTGGACTGGGACACAAATCTTTACTATGTGGTTGGTGGCGTTAGCAGGGAATATTATAATATGAGCTGCTGCCTTACGGCTAGACTCTTAATCCAAACCCGTGTCCTGGAATCTGGCAGTTTGAAATACATCGAAGCGACCAGCTTTGGCGTATAGGAAAGGTGTTGTGTTCCATCAGGACAACGTCAGACCCCACACATCGACAATGACTCGACAGAAGCTCTGGAAGTATGGTTGAGAAGTTTGTATGTA